ATGCAGGACTATCTGCAAGGCAGTAAAATGATAGTTTTAGCAATTCTTTAAAAAAATACAGCATCTGTAGAATGTTGATCATAATATATGTATTTTCTGGTATTGATTACAGTGTCTGTTCAATAAATGAATCTACATGATAATACCAACAGTTTTGTTCTTTTTTTCTGGGGAGCATTCTTGGGCAAATGACATAGCAAGTGTGATTGTGCCGAGGATATCACAAAGGACAGACCTTGGAAAGCTAATTGGAATGAAGGATATCACAAAGGAAAGTAAAATGTAAAGACAGACCTTGGAAAGCTAATTGGAATGTGCAAGAGCTAAGTCCACATTAGGCAGTTTTATTCTATTGTAAGTATTGTAATATTTTATTTCTTTAAATCTACCAGTGAACTGTGATTTTTCAGAACTGAGCGAATTTAAGAGAGAGAGAAAAAAAAAAAGGAATGATTATTGCTTGCTGGGCACAACTGATGCCAGCAATACTGGTCCTAATTTTGCTTCCTGGTTATTCTCTGTTTTGCTATTCCCATGCTGGCTGGGAGGAAAAACACCAGAGATCTCTCCTTGGGGCTTGAGGATAGGGATGGCCATTATGCATGTGAAGATGCTGCACACAGCATGCTGGTTCTGTGAGCTCGTGTCTTGGGAAAGCCACGTGTTTGCAAGAAAATGAAACTACTTGGAATTTAATGAGGGCTTGTATTTGTAGATGGGGCCATAGTGAGCACTGAGTTAGTAGATGAGGAAGGCCAAAATAGATGTCTTAAAGGCTAAGCAGAGATTGAAGGAGGTAGGTAAACTATTGAATACAGGTAGGAAATATTTTATCCTGGTAATAAAGTTGGTCTAGCTTAGCTGCAAATATACAGAGCAGCATAGCTGCAGCTGCACTAGGAGGGAGCTGGTTTAGTTAGAGTTGAATAGATCCAAGGCACTAAAGAGCTGTTTAGTCAAAGAGGAAAATCTGAATAGCAAAGGAAAAAAGGAAAGCAGGAAGTAAAACTACTCAGAATTAATGACGCTGGTAATTTATATTTAGTAAAAATATTTGCAAAGATATTTTGACATCTTTGTTATTAGTAATCAATGGCCAGAACGATTTATTTTGGTCTTACAGAAATGAGCAGTGTGTGGTGATGTTTTTCCCCAGTGCCCAGAGCAGCCTTGTCTTTGCTTACAGGGCACCTCTGTTGTTGGATGCAGAAACGTAGATGCAGCAGGGTCTCTGTGCAGGGCCCCACTGCAGGGTCTGGAGCGGGCCCAGGGCTCCACACTCAGAACTGCCGCCAAACACTTCCTGAAGGGAATCAGGCAATTCAGGGATGGCCAGATGTTCAAAAATGACTCATTAACAAGCCTGTCTCTAAAACTGACCCTTTCTGGAAATTTGCAGCTTCCATGGAAAACAAACAAAAAACCCCACTATTACAGTTTCTTGATAGAGGCAACTATGCTGTCTTTTAAATCTGTCCGCTATCAGAATAGCTTTTTCGGCACTGTTTTCTGCTTGTTCTTCTGTGCCACATATTATTATCATCTGTTTTGCTGAGAGAACAGCTTCCAGTTTATCTGCTCATTTCTAAGTGTTTGGCTCTCCTCTCTCTCTCCCAGTTCCTTCTCCTACCAATGTAGCAGTCAAAAGAAACTCGGCCCAAGTCAGGGCAGCAGCTACAGAGACCATTCAGCTTAAAGACTGGAGGAAGCAGGAGAAGGGAGTTAACACTCCATGCCCGAACTTGACACAATTTGAGCTGACACACTGACCTAGATAAACCCAAGCACCGGGATGGAGTGTATGGACATAGAAATGGCAAGACCAGCGATAGAAGTAAATACCAGAAAATGGGTTGTGCTCTCAGCAACCTCCGGCATTTTTTGTTATGTTTTGTTTTTGTTTTGTTTTTGCAACTTCCTGGCTATTTGTAAAGTAGAAGCAACTCGGTGCGCGGGGTTTCAAAGCGCGTTTTCAGATCAGGAACGAGGGCCCAGCAGCTTTTGTGGCCGCTC